GGGTTGGGCAGAGCTGAGGATTAGCCATTGGGGTGGTAGGTCTGCCAGGGCCCCTTTCTTCCAGTGCCGGGGGCCCAGGCAGGTTTGGACATGTCAAGTTTGAGGTACCAGAGGGTCCCTCCAGAGTGGAGGGCCAGTGAATGATAGAGGCAGGCCTGGGCAGTGGGTTTAGATTTGAGGATTATTGGGAGGAAAGGGATCAAGCTGACAAGTATCTGGGAACACTTACAGATTAAAATGAGATGTGAACCCAGGATGGAGCCCTAAGAAGACTACATTGAAGGTACAGGGAAGAGGCTACCAAAGAGAGTTAGGAGAATCTCAGCCAGAGGAGGCAGGGTGGGGCAGTGGGCCCAAGGGCTGCTGGGGTCCTCCTGGAGTGGTGGGGAGGAAGCCAGCATGCAGGGGTGAGGAGGGAAGAGGTGCAGGCAGCAAAATATACAGCTCTTTCATGTCTTCTCTTTGCTGGGAAGAGCAAAACAGAAGTTGTGAAGTCAATAGAGTGGGTTTTCCTGTTGTCTTTGTTTTTTGTTTTAAGATGAGAAATCTTGAGACATTAAAAAAATACAGCAGCAAAAGGCCCTGAAACATAGGGGGACAAGCCCCAAAGCCCCTCGCCTCTTTTCCAAAGCAAGATGGAAGCATGGAAGCAGGTCCAGATGAGTTGTGGGGCAGCAAGGAGAAGAGCTTGAGAATTTGGGGTGTCTGACTTTGCAGAGGCTGAGAGATGAAGCAGCCCACGTGGGGATGGGAGGAAGGGAGGATGCCATTAGAGTGGGGTGCCCTGTGCGGTGCCAAGCTGTGCAGTGCCCTAGTGTGGAGAACCAGGTGGCCCTGGGTGAGGCCGAGGCTGGAGGAACAGGGAGACCAGAAGTTCAGGATGTCATGTCCACAGGAGATGGCTGAAATGGGTGGCCTCGTGCTCCAGGCTGGATAGAGAAGGAAGTGAAGCTAGGAGGGACTGGCAGACAGATGGGGGAAAGGAGCAGCCCGCCCCTGCACTGGGTATGGTGGGACAGCGGCTGGGAATGAGGCTGAAGGAGAGCCCAGTGGGCCCCATCTGGGCAGCCGATGGGATTGGGCTGCACTTTCCCCTCTATAAAAGGGTGCAACACTCGCAGAGCTTTTGGAGGACTAAGTGCCGTCCTGTGTAAAGAGCTGGGCACACACAGCGCCAGGTGCGCAGCAGGTGCCCTAAACGCAGGCAGCGACGGTTCCTTTCACTGTCCCATCTTTGCCCCCGTGCTGTGGCGCCGGGAAGTCCCGCTGTCCCACCGCAGCTGTGCCCCTCCTGGGAGGCCCGGACGCCCTCAGGGGGACGGGGGGGGGCGGGGGGGGGAGCACCTTGTGGAGGTCGGCAGTCAGCGCGCCGGCGATGTCCTTCTCGCGCTCCTTGATCATGCGCCGCAGCGCCTCCAGCTGCTGGACCCGGAACTGCAGGGGGCGAGTCTTGCCCGAGTTGAAGGCGGCTCTGGCCCGCTGCACGACCTCGCTGATTTTGCTCATGGTGCCTGGGGGGAGAGAGAGAGAGAGAGCACCTTGGAGCAGGGGCTCTAAGGGGGGCGGGCGCGTCCGGGCCCGGGGCTGTGCCCTGGCTCCTGCCCTGTCACTTAGACTTGGGGGCTGCGGGGGCAGCACCCTCCCTGCTCCTCCCCCGCGTTAATTTTATAGGAAGAAGAAGATTTCCCCGGGAAGCGCTGGGAAAATGGCATTGTTTTGCCTTTTCAGCTGCTTAACCCAGATGTCTGGACCCTTCTGGCCCTCTCATACCCCCTGGGCAGATGACAAACATCGCAGTGAGGGCCAGCAAGCAGTGACAAGTGATCCTAGGTATAATTGTTGATGGTGGGTTCTTGGCAGTGTGCTGGGGGCAGGCCCTTCCTGGCATCTCTCAAGTCCCACTCCCACCTCTACCTGCTTGCAAAGCTGGTGACGCTCCTGGGCAAACACTCCAAGAGCTCCACACACCCAGCCAGGCCGCTTTCCAGACTAGACTGAAGGCACAGGTGTGATTCCACACCCACGCTGAGTATAGAAAACCCAAGTATCAAAACACCCGCACGGCCTTTCTGGCTAAGGGATTGGTCTCAAAAGCGCTGGTTGCTTTGCAGACCAAACCAGGCTTGGTTTTTAAACCAGTGTGTGCCCAGAACACCTGTGAGACACAGAGTGGGCCAGCGGAGGTCTCGCAGAGCGTCAGGTGTCTGCACAGAAGTGTAGAGGGGATGCCTGCTACCAGTACAAGAAACCATGCTGGCAAGTTGGGATGGCTCTTCTGGGGGCCGTTTGGCTACATCTAGCAAAAGCCTTTAAAACATATTTCTCTGTGACATTGTAGGTCCGTATTCAGAAGCTTATAGAAATTACAGCGTTCCTAAACATTCATGAATAAGAAAGTTCATCAAGTTTGCATGTAACAGAAATGCTGGAAACATCCTAAATGTCCGTCAGACATTTAACTGAACTCTGCTGCACCTGCGTGGTGGATGATTCTGCGGTCCACAGGAGAGAGAGAGCAGTGTTTCAGCACCTTCGTAAGGGCACGCTCTGTGCCAGGTGTGTCCCAGGCACGAGGGACAAGAAAGAAGACAAGTTAGAGAACAACGGTACACTAGGCATGCGCGTGTATGCATGTGTGTGTGTGTGTGTGTGTGCGCACATGCAAGAAAAGACCAGAAGGGTAGCCGCCAACACAGTGACAGTTGGTGGGGGTGAGCTTTGTTTTCATCTTCTGGACTCTTTGGCTTTTTTGCAATGAGCTTGCATTTTTTAAAGTGTTTGCTAACTTTTTGAATAGGTAATACATGCTCATGGTAGAAAATTTAAAAGCTACAAAAGGGAACACAGAGGAAAGTCAGTCTCCCTTCTCCCTCAGCAATTCCTTACTGTCCCCCCGAGACAGTCCACCCACTTTCAGACGTTTCGTAACTTCCAACATCAGGGAAAAAACCCACGAGGCTATTTCCATTTTGCAAAAACAAATTATATATACCATATATAATATATATGTATATACCATATATATACTATCTAGGTATGTAAATACATGTATATATGATATATAATATAAATGGTATATATGGTATATGTGTATATACATTATTACATATGGTACATGTAATTTTTTTACAAAATGGAGATAACCATATATGTGAAATATATATAACAACATATATATATATATATATATATTCCTGCTTGAATTCCAGTAAGTGGTTTCTGATTCCTTCCACTGTGCCCTTCTGCACAGTGCTGACCACCCACCCCCCCTGGGCTTTCTGCACAGAGGGGAGGGGCCCTGCTGACATCCGCAGTGCCCGTGGTGGTGCCTTTCCCACCCCAGGTGTGACGGGGGCCTGGAGGGAGCCCCCTCACTGGGTCCCCTCGGCCCAGCCTGCAGTGGGCCAGGCGCCCCTGCTGACCGAGACTCCAGCCACACAGCCCTACAGGAAGGTCCTTCTCTCCTTCCCAGCCTTGTGCGGTGAAACCAGGGCAGCAGCCTCTGGCCATCGGCCACAAGGGCGGGGGCCCAGGGCGGAAGAGCCTGGTGGGGGTGCGACCGAGTGGGCTGGCACCCCAGCTCTGCACTCGGAACTGTGTAACCTCTGGGAAGGAGCCTTCCTGGGCATCCTCTGTGGCCAGTGTTCAAAATAGCACCACCTCACGGTTATGACAAAGATTAATGGAGCCTGAAACATCTAACATTGCGCCGGCACCCCAGTGGGAGCGGCTGGAAGTCCTCCCAGGACTGCCTTCCCGCACCCCTATGTCCCACCCGCCTCACCTGTGCCAACTTTGCCCCAGGCATCCCTGCGGCTGGCTCCCCCTCCATCATTTCCTGGGATCCTCACAAAATCCCCGCGGGTGTGCCCATGAAGAAGAAACCCTTACGAGTCCGTTTTATGGATGGGGAAAGTGAGGCCGAAAGGCATTCAAATGCTCTGTATTTGGTCTCAAGTTAGCAAACGGCAAAGCCAGGATCTGAACCCACTTCTATCTCTGTCCACTGCTCACGCCTTTACCTACTGGGCTCTGCTGTCTTCCAGGTGAGTGAATCAAGGCTTCTCACCCACTGTCCCCTCGGTGCCCCTGCTCCACAGATCCTGGGTCCTCCACCTCCCGGGGCTGGGTGTGGCAGAGCCACCACACGTGGGCTTTGGATCCTCGGGGCACCCAACCCGATGATTCTCAGGAGAAGATTCTGGAGGCTGGGGAGGACCAGCCACAGAGATGGACCTGCTCCTGGTGCAGGCTCCAGATGGATGTTGCCACCTAAGGAGAAAAGGAAAAGACAAGACCTGGGGGAAGAGGATTACCTTGGACACAGCCTCTCCCAGGGCTGGAGCTCCTGGAATGAGCATCAGCCTAGAGGGGACACATTTAAGGAGGCTTCTTCCCGCCCACTGGACCTGGGAGTCCCCGCCCAGGAAGTTTGTGTAACAAAAACAAAACAATCATCTAACGTGGGGTGTAGCATCATCCAGACCTCTGCAAGCCCCAGCTTTGGAGATTAAGACTCGGGTTGTCTGTTTGTGTTCTATTCTAAAATGCAAGAATGTGTCTGTGAAGGCTGGGGTGGGGCTCACATCCGATCTTCAAAAGGAGCCTGTGTGTTTGCCCCGGGCACAGGGGCCGCTGATTGATTCGGCCTGGCAGGGACCTCTCCCAGATTTCCGAAGTGCAGTTGCCAGATGCTGTTCTCCTGATGCCCTGGTTACATAAGTGCAGCAGCAGGCGAGGTACCAGTCACGGGGAGTGTGCACACAGCTCCCCGAAAACCCACCACTGCACAAGCACATCCTTGTCCCCCATTCTTGTCCCACCTCCTCGGAGGTGTCAGGGCCCCACCGAGGCAGAGACCTCCAACTCGGGGGAGCCGCAGGCCGGGGGCTTTCCACACGAGGCCTCACTGACACGTATATCTGCCCTTTTGTTGAATGGCAGAGAAGAGGGCCAAGAACCAGTAAGAGTACCAGGCATCCCCCTCCCTGTGGTCACCCAGGAAACCAGAGATGCTTGGGAAGGAAAGACACACCTGGGCACTTCTTGCACCTCCCCTGCTACCAGGCCTGCCAGGTGCCTCCTGCCCCCCTCACCTACCTGCAGGCTGCAGGAAGAAAGCACGAGGTCCCCACGCTGGCCCTCGAGCCCCTGAGGATGTGTCCTTGCCCTCCTCCTCCCTCCACTTTGCCCTTCCCCATATGACCCCCCACGTGGCTCTGCACAAATGTGATGTAAGGTAGCACCACCCCCTCGTCATCACTGTGTGTCCTCTTCCTCCACTTTATTTTTCTCCAGAGCATTTATCACCCTCTGACACGCTGTTTGTCGACTCATTTTGTTTGCTGCCTGTCACCTCCTCCCCACTAGGATTTGGTTTGCTCACTGCTGTATCCTCAGCTCCTAGAACAGTGTCTGGCACATGTGTTACCGAACCAGGTCCGTTTTTGCCCACTGCCCAGAAAGCCAAACACTGAGACGACGAGATCGCAGCAGAGAGAGGGTTTTTTAATCACAAGGCAGCCAAGTGAGGAAACGGGAGAACCAGCCTCAAATCCACCTCCCTGAAAATGGGGACTCAGGGATATTTATGGGGAAGGGGGCAAGGTGGTCTGAAATGTGGGGAGAGATGATTGGAGGTGAGGAGAGGTGAGGTAACTGATGATCTGCACAAGTGTAGTCAGACTCCATGCCTCTTCATAGCACATATGTTCACAAAATGGCAGCGTTGGCATGACCCGAGGCTGGAGTTTTTAGCCTCTTGATGTCAAAAGGTTGCTTATCGGACATCTGTGCAGGCCCAGTTGATGGGTTAGTGCTCTCAACCAGCCTGAAGTGGACAAGGGGCTCTAATTCCTGAAAAACAGCTCAAACACCCATTACCATGGTGACCCTGGCTCCAGGGAGATGTTATCTATAGGAACCTCGTGGGAGTCAGATAGCATATTGCCTCAACAGCATAGTTAACAATGGGCGGGGGAACAACTAAAAGCTACAATCAGTAATTGCAAAAAAGAAAAAAAACAACTTGAGTTCCTAGCTACCTAATCATCAATGGAACTGTCTGCCGGTTTCACATGGTGGGTTCTCCACAAATATCTGTTGAGTGATGGATAAACAGAAAACTTCACGACACTATGAAAACCGTAGTGACCCGAATATGCACAGGATGCTGCAGGGAGTCAGATGAAGGTCCCATGAGAGGGAAACGGCATCTGAGCTGAGTGAGAGGTGTGCAGGCAAGGAACAGCAGAGGGGCTCGGAACAGCAGAAGCAAAGGCATAGAGGCAGGAAACAAAGTAATGTGGATGAGGCTCCAGGGGCAGGGGGTTCATGGAGGCCTGTGTGCTGGGCCAGGCTGGGGCAGGGGGGTGGGCATGAAGGAGCTTCTCATAGAAACCCGTGTCTGATAATTTTGTTTTTAGAGAATCCCTCTGGATAGGGCACAGCCTTAAAGAGTTCCAGACTGAAAGATGCAGCTTCCATGCAGACAAGAAACTATGAGACCCCAAACTAGACAGAACGGGAAACATTCCAGAAATAGCAGAAGGAAACATTGGCAGGACCCAGTGCCTGGGGCCGGGTGGTGGGCAGAAGGTGGGGCATCCTTGGAGAGAGGGAGGATCAGGTGGGTTGACCAGGCCTCTTCTGGTGGCGGCACCTAATTATCTTTGGGGGTGACCTCTTCCCCTCTGCTTGTAGACTCAGCGAGGTATCAGCCAGGGTGCCCTGCTGCAGCCTAGCCAGGGTGGCGAGGGCCCCCAATGAGGCCGCCCAGTCTCTCCCAGGAACTTGGGTCTTGAGTGGAAGGCAGGATGCAAGGCCTGAGGCCACTAGAGCTCACTCACGACAGCGGCTCCCCGGAAAGTCGGCCTGCTGGTCGTCTCACTAGTTCCTGGACTGCCCTGACCCCACCCTGCCGAGGTCTGGTTCTCCAGCTCCCTCTTTGACTCACTGGCAGTGTTCACTCAGTTGCTGAACACTACCAGCCGCATGTCATTAGACAAGCTACTTAATTTCTCTGGGCATCAGTTTCCTCATCTGAAAAATGGTGCAGAGGAAAGAAGCTGAGAGATGAGCCCCCAGAGCTCCAGGCTTCCCTGGTCTTGGGCCCGCCCCACCTTCCGGGACGCTCCTCTGCAGTTCTCACTGCTTCTAAGGCACCTTCATCCATCTCATTTCCTCCTTCGTCTTTCAGCATGAAGTTGACCTCCCCGAGGAGAACCATGGAAGCACCTGGAAAAAACCAGCACAGGCAACAACGATTAAAGCCATTAGAACAGTGCCTGGCATACAGAAAGCTTTGTGGAAATGTTAGGTGCTGCTGCCACTGTTAAAAGTAGCAGCTTTAGTCCTGGTGGTATCAGAGCAAGGAGCCTTGAAACTTGTTTAAATCTATGGAGGATAAAATCTGAGTGTTTTTTGTTTGTTTATTTGTTTAAGAGTTTCAGTTCTGGCATAAGCTTGGGTTGTCATAGAAAGTGTTGCAGATACATGCTTTTTAGATTTTCTTTTTTTTTGGGTGGGGAAAATTGGCCCTGAGCTAACATCTGTGCCCATCTTCCTCTACTTTGTATGTGGGACACCACCATGGCATGGCTTGATGAGCCGTGCGTAGGTCCACAACAGGGACCCGAACCCGTGAACCCCGGGCTGCCGAAGGGGAGCGTGCGAACTTAACCACTATGCCACTGGGCTGGCCCCTAGATTTTAATGTTTGCAAGCCCTAACATTCCATCCCCCATGCCTTGTCCTGGCCCAGGCTGCCACACTCTCTCTCCGAGGCCACTATCATTGCCGCTTGCCTGCTCTCCCCGAGTCCATGCTCACCTCTCCATGCTACCTTCTCCAAACAGCTGCCAGAGGGACCTTTGGCCAGTGAAGACCTGAGCACGTCTCTCCCACAGTGACGTCCTTCAGTGGCTTCCTACTGCTCTTAGAAAAACCTCCCATGGCCTTTGAAGCCCTGCATGGTCTGACTCCTGGCTGCCTCGCCAGCCTCGTTCCTACCACTTTCCAACATTTTCACTGCATTCCAGTCTGCTGGCATCCCTTGAATGGGCTACCCCAGGGTCTTTGGACATGCTATTCTCTCCCTGGAACACTTCCCCTTCCACTCTGCACCACAGTAACTCTTATTCCTGTTCAGATCTCAGCTTCTCTGACCCCTGCCCCCAAAATAATGCCTTCCTTACTTCCAGGAACCTGTCACAACTTGCAAACGTGTATTTGTTTGTGTGAGTATTTGTTGATTGTTTTTCTTTACTCCTCATCCCCTCACAGACTGGAATCTCCATGAAGGCAGTGATCTCAACTTTTGGTCAATACCATATCCCCAGCACTTAGCACAGTACCTGACCTCAGAAGATAGTGGAAACAGGCCAAGGTACCAGATCATCCCCCAGATGTGGCTGGGCATGGCCTAAGGTGAGACCAAAATTGTCAATCATTCAGCAAGATGATTTTCAGCAAATTCACCTAAAGCTAGCAAAAATTTTTGAATCAATGAAAAAATTGGCTTAAAAGTGACTTTGCTTAAATTTCAAGGAATACTTAGGTTAGAAACAGCTGTTGGGAGGGGAAAACCACTTTCTTTTCAAGAGCAGGAGAGAAAACATTAGGCAGTGAGTCTGTGGGATTGTTCTCTCCCTCCTCTTAGTTAGAGAGAGGGGGAGAGGAGAGACCCAGACCCTGGGGTGTGTGGGGACACTTGTGCACAGGTTGTGAAGGAGATGGCCCTGGCCTGTTCCTGAGCTGAGGCGGCCAGGGCCGGACAGCCAGGAGGGTCCACATGCAGCTGAGGGCACAGAGGAGAACAAACTCTCAGAAGGGGGTTCTGACACATGGCCACACAGAGGCCGTACATCCCAGTGTCAGAAGTGAACTTGGAGGTGAGTTAGAAAAGCCATTTGAATTAGAATCTTGAAATAAAGCCCGGGAGAAGATCCTTGGTGCCCTCCAGAAACTTGAAACTGCAAGTTGAACACGTAAACCCACGCACCAGGCCTCTCGTGAGGAGACAGAGGCTGATGGAACATTCAGGAACACCCAAAACTCCAGCCAAATGGAACTCTCTCTGAGTGCAGGCCTGGCAGGCAAGCCTTAAAAGTGGAAACTTGATTAAGCACTTGTTTGGAGGAAGACCATGTGACCAGAGGGGGCTGTGAGCCCGGACAAGGAGCCTCAGAGGCCAGCTTTGGCAAAGCCCCTTGCAGCTCAGGTCGGGAAAGCGGAGCCCCGGCTGAGCCTGGCAGGGTCCCCCAACTGCAGGAGAGGCGCTCAGGCTTCTGCAGATTGACAGCAGGCCTTGGCTCCCATCCCGTGTCCACCAAGCTACCTTCCAGTACCCTGGCCTCCCAGCCATGTGCAAACAGGAAGAGGGTGTTCCAATATGGTTGACTAGGCAGTTACTCTTGTTGTTGTAAACTGACAAATTGTCATTTCTGATTATCATTTGGCTGCCCCGTAGGTTGTCACATGGGCAGAGCCCGCAGTGAGAATGA